GTTTAGAACAAAACAATTTCATTAAGTTAATCCATCAGTACAACAGGTTAAATCTCGGCATACCGAGCTATCAAAGAAGAAAAAGATAAAAGAACACAAAATTCTAAGAGCAACCCGCAGCTGTTCAATCCTAGGCAGGGCAACCGACAGCAATGCCGACCAAGGGAAGCCGCACTACACTTTGGTCGAGCACTCCACCCTTCGACTTCGGAACTGGGGGAGTGGTGTTCGGATTCTGAAACTTAGGCTACAAATTCCTTAGTCGAAGAATAGAGAGCCCATCCTTGGTGCAACATTAGGGGAGCTCGTCCCAACGACTCGACACCTTCCTCGGTGTAGCATTACCGAGCCTCGAAGAGACCTAGCTTTCGAAGCCTAGAACCTTCCTCGGCGTGACGCTATCGAGCATCAGAGAGGTGCAGACTTTGAAGCTCAGCACCTTCCTCGACACTGCGCTACCAAGCCTCGGAGAGACCCAGACTTCAAATCTTGGAACCTTCCTCGGCTTGACGACTAGGCACCTTCCTCAACACTGAAGCTCGGCCTCCACCAAGAATCGGAAGGCCCCTCCTCGACAGCCGGCCGAGCTAAGCAACCATGCAGCGTTTCAACAAAGAAGGCCTCGCTATGGTCTCGCTCTGTCCCAGTCGAGCATCCTACTCTTCGACTTCGGAACTGGGGGAGTGGTTCCTGAATCCCTAAATTTCAAGAACAAGTTCCTCAGCTGGAGAGCATACCATCAACTTTGAAGCTTGACATACCACAACCGAGCTTCACAATAACTCGTTACTTGCGAAGCCCCCAACTCCGAAGCTCGGTAGACCACAACCGAGCATCATAATAGCTCGGCACTAGCGAGGCCCTCAGCTTCGAAGATCGGAAAGCCACAACTGAACATCACAACAAGCTCAGCACTTGGAGGCCCTCAAACATCACAACAACTCAACACCTAGGGGCCCTCAACTTTGGAGCTCGACAAGTCATAGCCAAGCATCGCAACGACCTTAGTTCCACATCCTGATAACCCCAAAGGAACCCATCTCCGTAGCTCGATGCCCCAGCACCTAGGGGTCCTCAGCTTTGGAGCTCGGCAACTCATAGCCGAGCATTGCAACAACCTCAGTTCCACATCCTGGTAACCCCAAAGGAACCCATCTCCGTAGCTCGACACATCATAACTGAGCATCACAGCGGCCTCAACTCTGAAATTTGGACCTAACTCCAAAGCTCGGCGCACCACGACCGAGCATCACCACGACACAGAAGCTCAACTTCCACTTGGAATCAGAGCTGTTCCTCGGCTCCACCAGGAGGACGGACTTGGAAGCTCAGTTCGACACCTCGGCTCTCTGTCGAGCTACGCAACCGCGCAACACTTCGTGCCAAGCACTCCCCATCCTCGGCTCCAAAACTGGGGGAGTGGTGTTCGAACTCCAAAGTCAGAACTCTTAGAGTTTTGCAATCGACAATGGGAAGATTCCTTGGCCATTTTCCATTATGCCTGGTTCTCAAGATTGTGACAGGCACCAAGGAACACCAAAGGGGCCAAACGCCCATCCAGACATCAACTTGTAGTTCTTCAGCCAAAGAACGAATTGGACTACTTTATTCTTCGATTTCAGAGCTGCGGGAGTGGTGTTCGGGTCATGGCTGAGCTGGCCCTGTGAGACATGTGGCCGCCCAGCTATCACCCTGCCACGTCATCCTAGCTCGGCCACGTTGGCCTAGCTCGGCCATGTCGGCCTTGCTCGGTCACGTTGGCATAGCTCAGCCAAGCTACGCTATTATTGTGGCACCCCATCTTATCTTTCCAGCCACGTCAACTACACGCCATATGGATGAGCACAACTACGAATAAGGAGGAATAAGGAAGAGGACTCCGCTGGGGAATGAGACTGTATCCCGAATACCTCTGCGGCTAACCTCATCCCAACAACCCCAGAAGCCTAATCCGACCAAGACACGGATCTTCGGCTATAAAAAGGTACTCCATGCTCGAGGTAAGGGATCCCAACTTCTAACACAAGTACTGCTACTTAGCTCGGACCAGCATCCTTATAGCTCGACCCGACCATCTACCACTTCTTATTGACTTGAGCGTCAGAGTACTTACCCGGGGATAACTCCTCGGGCCTTTGACTTCTCCTTTCTTGATCACAGGTCTTGAAGCGAGGCCTCGTCCTTGTAGCTCAGCCACACCCTATCAGCAAGGACTATTTAGTTGCTCTCCTTAGTTCGTGCACCACCTCGGATTGAGCAACATCAATTATTATTATTATTATTACTATTATTATTATATTAGTAGTTAATAATTAATATCTTAGTGTTTATCATTAATCTTTTAATATTTTACTATGATACTATTATTTTATTAATATTTTAATTACTAATATATTCTTATGTTATTATTATTATTATTATTGTATTATGTTAATAATATTTTATTAATATTAGGGTTTGAGGGTTTTTTCATGAGTTATTTACTACTTGATAGACTTTTGGAATGGAATCCATTCCCTTGGGGGGGTAGAATGGCCATCCCCTAATAGGGAACCGAAATTCCATTCCAACAAACAAATAGAAAATGGACCCTAACCTTCTACAGTGATCCTTAATTAATACAAAGCTTCAATTCTATGTCAACGGGTGTAAGATGACATGGGAGATAAAGTTGAATTTTCTTTCAATTTGAAGCTCAGAATCAAGTTGATATAGCAGGAAGGAAGACAAAGATACAACTTAGAGTACAGAAAAAATCATAAAATAATGTGATAAATAAAAGATTCTTTTAATTAATAATAACTAGTGGGATCCCATGTGATGCCTGAGAAAATAAAAAAAAAATTATTAATTTTATTAATTGATAATTTGAAAGATGTCAGGGGAGGTTTTTTTATTCTTTTTTCTTTTCTTTTTCGCAAAGGTCAAAGTACAAGGAAGGCTTAAAAATTGTTGGGGGAGGGGATAATCATCCCCCAAACCCATAAAACTCCAACCCTAGTGCAAGTGGATGCTTAGAACTAATTAATAAAAAATCTCTATTTACTGTTGTTTGCATAACAAAAAATAAAAGTAGAAAAAAAAACTTGAATATCTTCAAAATCCTTGGTACAAATATAGATATGAATAAATTACTTTTCAACAATTTATGAAGAAATTTCTGAATTGATATGAATAAACTAATTTTCAAAAAAAATCTGAATTTATGAATAATTAATTACTAAAAATATTGAATGTTTAGGTAAATTAGATTTTTTTTTAAATTAACTTTTACTAAATTAAATTACCCAAAACTTGAAAATTAGTTTATGGAAATCACTAAATGTAAATTACCAATAACTTTGGAAATTGTTAATAATTATCAATTCCTAATGTCTGTTTGGTCAGGAATCTGAATTTGATTTCAATTGTTGTTGTTTCGTTTATTTGGAATTGGAATCAAAATTACCTATTTCCTAATGTCTGTTTGGTTTTGTCAAGAATTGGAATCAGATTCCAATTGTTGTTTGGTTAATTTAGACTTGGAATGGGAATGGATTGAAAACTTTAAACTTTATATTAGTCTATTTATCATTTTATTATAACTTTATTAATATTCTATGAATATTTAATTTTTATTTTATTAGTATTTTGTTATTATTATTTTCTTATTAGTCTATTAATATTCTATTATTTTAAAGAAAACTTATTATTATTATTTAATAATTAATATGTTAGTATTTTATTATTACTTTAATAATATCATATTGATATTTTATTTGTTCTTAGTTATTGTTATGATTATTATTTAATAAATAATATCTTTTCTTTTTTATTGTTAATTTATTAATATTTTATTATAGTATTAATATTTTATTATATTTTACTAATTTATTTTTATTATTTTAATAATGAATATATATTTATTTTATCATTATTATCATATTATTACTTTTATAATATTTTATTATTTAATTATTGTTTCACGAATTGTTTTTTATTATTATTATTATTATTATTATTATTATTATTGTTATATTTAATAATTAATATCTTTGTTTTTTATTAATAATTTCATAATATTTTATAATTTTATTAATAATAGGGTTTGAAGGTTTTTTGTCATAAATTCTTTACTTCTTGATAGACTTTGGAATGGGAATCCCACTCCCTAAGGGGGCCTAGAATGTCCATTATTCCCCCCCATAAGGGGGAATCTCATTCCCCAAGAATGGGAATTGAAATCCCATTCCTACCATACAAAGAATTCACAGAGTTGGAATCGATTCTAATTCCAGGCATCTATTCCAAAAAACGAAAGAGACCATAAGGTCTTGGCTAAATGGATCTATCTTAGGAATTATCTCATAATGATCCTCAAGAAGAATGGCATGGTAGGAACACTTTCTGGCTTTGATATATTTATTCATAATTTGTTACATTAAGTCTTATAGTCAAATTCTGGTCTTCTGATCATTCTTTTAACTTCAAATGTCATTAATCATTTGATTTAGAATTGGTGAATCTGATCAACTTGGAAGTGCTTGATTTGAGTTGGAATCGTCTTAATGGCTCGATTTTAGTGCAAGGTAAGAAACACTTTCTTCTTTTGGTTTTGGTTTAATTGTGAATGTCTAAATGATGCTGCTTATTCTATTATTTAATCTCACTCTAATGGAAAGCACCGCCATAGCGGCAAGAAGTTGAACTTGTTATCATCCTAAAATATGTTATCATCATTTTGAGTTTAATTTACATATACTATTCAATATCTGATTATAATCCGAATTCGATTTGATCTGGTTCGATTCGATCCATTTACAGCCCTAATTTTTGGGTGCAATTTCACCTATATATATATATATATATATATATGCTTGGAACGTTATAGATTGGGAAGAGTAGTGGCATAGAAGGATCACTTTTGTATATTTATTCATAATTTGTTACATTAGATCTTTTTGTCAAATTCTGGTCTTCTCATTCTTTTAATTTTAAATCTGATTTATTATTTGATTCAGAATTGGCGAATCTGATCAATTTGGAGGTCCTTGATTTGAGCGGGAATCATCTTAATGACTCATTTTCATTGCAAGGTACGTAATAAACTCTGTTTTTATTTTATTTTAGTTTTTGTTTAATTTAAATGATGATGCTTGTCCATTTTCAAAATTAAATTGTTAGCTTAAGATAAACCAGAAAAGAAATCAATCTAAAAAGTAGCTCTAATAAAGGCTGGATGCTCCCCTATACTTTTAAAGGCTACCTAAATTGAGCAGCTTAAATTGTCAATTGTGGATATATTCTATCACTGTTTTTTTATGAATGTTAATGGTTTCTTAGGCTTTTAATTTTGTTTATTTTTTTAAATAAAAATACACTAACTGTAAATTAATTTGTACACCAACTAATGTGTACTTTACTCTACCCTATCTTTTATCATTTGCCTTTCTTTTTTTTGTGCTTCCCTATTCACATAAATTTATGTTTAGGGTAAAATGTAAAAACCTCACCTGTAATTTTGAAAAAAAAAATAAGAAAAAGAAACTGCAATACCTGTACCTCCCTTTCATCATTGTCGTAAACAGAAAATATTGGCCTTATTATGCATTAGTTTTTTTTTTTTGAAAATACCCCAAAAGAACTTTTCACTTTTAACTTAAAAATTAAGTTTCTTGGGTCAAATTGAAGAGTAAAGTAATCTGACTTTGTAAATTGATTTTTCAAACAGACATAAGAGGCTTTTTTTTTTTTTTTTTTTTTAATTTTATTAAGTTACACCTTAGGGGCCGATTTTATGATTGTGAATAAACCTCTCAGGGGAGTTTTTTATAGTTTACCCTTTTCTTTATATAATTACTGACCATTAGTGTCTTGTTTGATGAGACAACCAGTTTTGGTGAATACACCAAACACCATCATGTGGTGGAAGAGACAGTATACATATCAAACGAATTAGTCCACTATGACTATGAGGTCTAGTTTCTACCCAGACAATAAGAGTAATATATAAAAACCGCTGACTCACATACATAATTGATAATTCACTACTGATGTACAGGATTATGTGAACTGAAAAAGCTCCGAGAGTTGAATATTGGTTACAACAACTTTGGAGTAACTACTAGTACTCTGCTGCCTCCATGTTTCAACAACTTGACATTTCTTAGAAGGATAGATCTCTCCAGTAATCAATTTAAAGGAAACATTCCATCTTTCATAACTACTCATACATCACTGGAGCACATCCTTCTTGGTGATAATAAATTTTCGGGCTCATTCTCATTCAGCAACTTCGTCAACCATTCCAATCTACAAGTCATTGACCTTGGAGGTAACAAACTAGAGGTAGAAGCAGAACATCCACATCAGGTTCCGACCTGCTTTCAGTTGAAGGAGCTGTATTTAAGAAATTGTACTCTTCTCTCGGGTGTTGTTTCAAGATTTCTCTCCAGTCAATATGACTTACGAGTGCTTGATCTCTCCTCTACCAATTTGAAGGGAACATTTCCAACCTGGATTTTGAACAACAATACAAAGTTGCAACAACTAAACCTGGGGAATAACTTACTAAATGGCCATTTTCATCTGGTATCTGTTTATCCAAAGATAGCTGTTGTTGACATCTCCGACAATCACATTGAGGGGCAACTTCAAGCAAATATTGGTGAGGTGCTTCCAAACCTAATATTTTTAAATTTAGCAGGAAACTCTATTGATGGTGGCATTCCTTCGTCAATCGGTAACATGAGCATATTGTGGGCGTTAGATTTGTCTAATAACAAATTGACCGGAGAAATACCTAAGTACTTGGCCAGAGGTTGCACCGAATTATCGGTTTTGATTCTGTCAAACAACAGATTGCATGGAGAAATATTTCCATCGTATTTTAATTTGACCAGGTTGGATAACAATCTTTTCAAGGGAACTCTGAGAGATGGATTGTCCAAATGTACTGAACTATTTAATTTGGACATCAGCAACAACCAGATATCAGGTAGGATTCCCAGTTGGATTACAAACTTCTCGTCTCAGCTGATGACTCTTTTCATGCAAGATAACCATTTCCAAGGGGAAATCCCAACTGAAATTGGTCAATTGAAACTTCTTGAATTTCTAGACCTTTCTGGGAACAGACTCTCGGGAACCTTACCTTCTTCTCTCTTGATGTTACAAAAATTAAAATATGTAAAATTGCAGAGAAATGAATTCGCAGGATCGCTGCCAGTTACTCTTCTCAACAATTCATCATCATCTTTGCTTGCACTGGATATGAGTTATAACAACTTCTCTGGTAGTATTCCCAGTATGATCAGTGAGCTTTCTGAGCTGCGTGTTCTTTCGTTGAAGCGAAATACCTTAAATGGTCCAATTCCATATCAATTATGCCAATTGAAGAAGATAAGGTTGATGGTTCTTTCCCATAATACCTTTTCAGGGACAATACCCCAATGCTTCAGTAACCTCAACTTTGGGAGTAAAGATGACACAGAAAATCTATTTCAAGATTCAGTGATACCTTATTCCATAGGAAATATGGGATATAAAAGCGTCACACTGGAAGAAGTGGAGTTCACAACAAAGAGAAGGGCTGACTCTTACAAGGGTGACATTCTTAATTACATGTCTGGGTTGGATCTCTCTTGCAACCGGTTAACTGGTAAATTCCCCTTTGAAATAGGAAATCTACATGGGATTCGTGCATTGAACTTCTCTCATAATCACCTTACTGGATCAATCCCCAAAACCTTTTCAAAGCTTAGGAACATAGAAAGCTTGGACCTTTCATGCAATAGGCTGAATGGAACGATTCCTTCGGAATTGACCGAGCTAAACTCCTTGGCAGTCTTCTCTGTGGCTCATAACAATTTATCTGCTAAGACACCGGACTTCAAAAAACAGTTCGCGACCTTCGACAGCAGCAGCTACGAGGGAAACCCTTTGCTTTGTGGACCTCCGTTACTGAAGAAATGCACCAAAGATGAAGAATCATCAGACGACCTTGTGCATGCAGAAACACAGAATGAGAGTGGGATTGATGTCGTTTTCTCAACAAGCTTTGTGGTTTCATACATCATGTCCTTGCTGGGACTCATGACTATTCTATACGTGAATCCTTATTGGAGGAGGATGTGGTTTATTTCATTGAAGCACGCATTTATTCATCCTATGGCTTTATTACCAATGTTCTGTACTAGAGGTATAGATTATATTTACTTGCTCCCTTAATTTACATATGGATGATGATGATGATGATGTTATGTTATCCTAATGTCTGTCCGTTTTTGAAATTCTGGAAGTTTAGACAGTAAAAAGATATAATGGGCTTTTACTGAATACTGTTTGATTAAGGCGTGTCTTTTGGTATGATGAAGATAAATTGAAAAAAAAAAATCAGAAAGCTTCATTTAGAGCTTTCCAAAAATCGTACAAAATGGATTTTGATTGCCTTTGGCATAATATTTTTTGATGATTAGATCTTTTTCCAATTAAACGGCAAAAGACGAAAACACATGCTATTGGGCTTCTAAAAATCTGACAATCTGCACAAAAAGACATGCGGAACGGGACTTTAATAATGCTCATTTGGAGCCCAAATCTTCTGTAGCATTTTTGTTGTGGTTGAGGTGTTGCTCTGGAGTCAAGTTTAGAAGACTGTGATCTAGCCAAACAACAGAGAAAAATGGAAGAAAAGTTTGGGGAAGAACGAGAAGAGAGAGAAAGCCAGAAGGGTTTGATTGAGTTGAGGATTCTCCTGACTTTTAGATGTTGCTTATGACTTGTATTAGAAGCTGCATTGTGGAGAGCTCAGACACAAATGACGAGCAGGTGGACTATTATAATCGATAGTCCGGATCCCCGTAATGGTGTCATTGGCAGATAAAAATACTTGCTTTCCTTTTAATTAATTTTCAGAATCCTGTTTACAGGAGATTAACCAGTAAAATTGGCTTAACCATGTTTTAAATAGTTTATTTTATTGTCGGACTAGAGTCTAGGATATGATTCGACAGAGAGTTGGATACGAACCTTAAATTTATTTATTTTTTCTTAGTTTTGTTATGTTAGAGGGTGGCTTGCAGAGAAAGCATTTTTTTTATGTCCTTAATTAGACTTTTTGGGCTTATTGGATTTTAAGAGGGGAAAATTGGTCAATGGGATTTTAGTTCATATTCACAAAGATACCTCTCTCTCTCTATATATATATTTCTGATTTATGTAAGACTCATGAAAAACATGGGTAAGTGATATTCATCTTTAAGGTGGGTAAGTAACTTTCCCACATGCGGGAAAATTGCGAACACTTCTATGAAACAAAATTACCCATTTTAATAAAATATTTTTTATGGCTAAAATGGCCATTGTCCTATTTACCTGAGAAATTAAAGAACATGGCACTTACTTTACTTAGATAAGTAACTTCCTGAAAAACGAATGGGACATTTTTATTGGTGGTTTAGAAAAAAAAATAACAAGAAAAATTGAATTCTCATTAAAACCTTCTATGACTAGGGGCATAACTTGGAAGCATCCAACCTGAGCCGGCCCACCCAATCTGCAATTTTATATGGACTGTGCTTGGATTTTTTGTCCCTGGGTTGGTTTTGGATTCATGATTTCGGGCTTTTTAATTTTTCAGATTGGTTCCAGACCTAGCTCTTAGGTACTTTGAACCCAGCCTGACTTTATCCGAATTTGAACCCAAAACATAAATATATAGATGCATATTTATATATAAATACATATATATGCACACATCTGCATAATTGCATTTATGTATGTTAAATTTTAGAGTGTATTCATTAACCAACCCAAGCCTAACGCAAGTGCATCAAATTTCAGGACAGATTGTGCTTAGATTGAAAAAATCAAACTTGACTTCAGGACTGGGCCTCAGGCCTAAATCTCAGTTGGGTCTGGATTGCCCATAAAACCAGTCCAGCCTGCCTCACTTGTACCCCTATCTCTAACTTGAACTTGGATGGGTCACTGAATCACCAAATTACTAGTTAAACCATCAAATCTAGCGACAGCACTGCTTGAGAACAGAGGTAGAAAGGTTGAACCTGGACTGCATCTGCATTGAACTAGAAGCCCTTTAAAGTTTAAACTGTACGGTGATATCACTACATGGCATAGGACATTAGATCTACATCTACCTAGGAAGGAAAAAATAGGGAAAGGAAGGGAAAAGTTAAGATCTTCTAGGTTTTGTTGCCTTTCCCTTCCTTTTCCTACCTTTTCCATCAAACTAAACGTAGTCTAAAGTGCAAAGTTTATGTAGTCATTTTTATTAGGCTTTTAGGACCCAATTTAAAAGTATAATTGATTGAAAATATGTATAGTTTTGACATTGGATTACCCAAGTCCTCAACCTACACCCAACCAAAGTTTAAGTCATGCCCAAATTTTTTAGCCCAAGCCCAATCCACAAGCTAAAAACTTAGACCCAACTCCGCAACTCGAGCAAAAATTTGGATTGCATCAGGTCGGGTTTGGGTTGGATCCGCCTAGCAGGTTGCACCCCTAAATTCTACGGGAAAGGGCATTGGCAGCTAATTAATTACTTTTAACCGTACAATATTAACACAATTCAACCACGGTGATAAGTTGTATTAACACAATTCAACCACAGTGCTAATCATGAATCCCCTTACATCATTAACAATATTGGTTGCCTTTAGTTTATTTCTGTTACATCAATATTCTTTTTTAATTGGAAACCAGCAGAACCCAACCATATATTGCAGAGGCAATGCACACCCAATACCTATTGTAGTATACAAACCCATAATCGATTATTAGGGACTTGGGTCTAAATTTAATTTAATGTGTTAGGCTCTAGGGAATGATCAAAATGGGTGTTTCACCACAGACCTTGCATGTCTTAGGCTCCGGGGAATGACCAAATATGGATCAATTGATTTTTTTTTCATTCTTCCAACCGAATGGACAAACAAATAACAGATAAGGCCTTCCCTACTCTATTATACCTAACTAGTGGGATCAACTGAAAGATGCATTTTTTAATAAACGATGGATTTTAGGGTTTTATGGATCTTTCTCATTGTTTTAAGGGTTGGGAGATAGGGATGACAATTTTCCCCATTTCCTCGATTCCCGTGTAGATCCGCCCTGAAGATGGGGATAATTCCCCCTCCTCCCACAGGGGTGGGGATGGAGAAATTTTCATCCCCGTTAGTGGGGATGGGGCGGAGATGGGAAGAGCATTCTCCACCCTGTAGGGACCCTGATCCTCGCCCCGTGGGATCCTCATTAATATATATGTATATATGTACATATACATCTATATATTGATATTTTTAAAAATATTTTTGAATATGTTTGAATCTTTTCTAATAGGATTGTAAATTTTAATTATCTTATTTTATTTATTTTTAAATAAAATAAAAAACAAAAACAAAATGGTTAACATTATAAAAAATTATGGGGAATAGGGATCCCCGTAGGGATCGGAATGGGGATAACCTTGTCCCCGTTAGCAGGGATGGGGATGGGGATTTTCGTGAAGACGGGGATAGGGAGAGGCTCCCCGCCCCGTTGCCATTCCTATTGGGAGATTAACAATGCATACGGAGGAAGTTACATGGAAAGCGTAGCAAAATATTCCAAATTTTCCTTAGTAGTTGCATATTTGACCTCTACCTCCTGTTAATCCATCGTAAAAATTTAGTACAAACTATCAGTGCATAAGGAGGTAAATTGTCTTGGATCAACCTTTCTTGAACTCCCAACCGTCTTTTAGGTTCTCATGTTCAATCTAATTTATGAGCTTCTTCCTAGTTATTTATTTGTCATCTTATTGTTGGGATTTTTATATTTTAGAGAAACTTTATGGCTTTTAGGCTTTTATCTTGTCAGATATATTAAATTTCAATTACTACTAATTCTTTTTTATTTGGCTATATTCTTCACAGTCTTAAGTAAATTTCTTAGGTAGAGACTCATAATTTAGTCTATAGTTTTAAAAGTAAATTGATTTTGCAAACATTTGCAAGCAAATGAGCAATTTTATTTTCTTTACTTGTTGGTCCAAGAAATCATATATTTGGTCTTAGCTTGTTTTGAAAATTATTCATAGGTTTATAGGGTCTACTTTTGGTATGCAAGTTAGTCATTTTATGTGTTTCTAGTTTCTAGACTCTTGTTTAGCTTTCGTCGATTTGGGGTTTTTAGTGGCTCTTCCTATGTGATTCTAATCTTGGGGTAGTGCTTGTTTTCCATTTATAGCATGTTAAAACGCTAAGATGTTGGCATCTACTGTTCAGTATTGTCTCTTATTATTATAGGGAAAGCATCCGAATAGAAAAATGGTTCCTTAGTTGGTGTTCATATCCTATTGCTTAGAAGGGGGATTTGTTTCTTATTATTTGCTTAGAGGTATCAAATGGTTAGTCCATCTAGTTTTTGTTAGATAGGTAATACCCTCTATATAAGCAATGTGGTTAATAACCTGTTCATGGGCCGGGTAGCCCGACGGGCCGGTCTGGCCCCTGGACGGGCTTGAGCATGTGTTTTAGCCCATGGGCTTGACCTCGGGCCTAAAAGCCCGAGCCCGACTATTTTACGGGCCGGGCTTGGGATTTGTTAAAAAAGCCCGGTCCGAGCCTAACTCGGCCTGACTTTTCCTAAACTACCTAACCCTAACCCTAAATAGTTGAAAATTTTCTTTTCATTCTCCTTTCTCACTCTCACTCTCAGAAGTGGCTCTCATTTCTCCCTCTCAATTCTCAGAACCGGCGAACCCAACTACACCTGCAAACTCAGTCACCGACGGCCGACGCCACCAGAAGTAGTCATCTCTCTCTTTGGCAGTGATCTCTCTCCCCAGCCAGCACCGTTTTCATCTTGTTTCTTCTCATCCTCAGTTCTCTCTCTTCTTAGAACTAGGTTTTCTATCTTCTCAATTCTCTCTCCAACTGACACCACCAGAACCCAGGCGCATCGTTTTCATTCTGCGAACTCAGGCACCAGCGGCTGGCGCCACCAGATCTAGATCATCTCTCTCTCTCTCGAGCAGTGAGTTCTCTTTCTCTCTCTCTCTCTCTGGCCAGCACTGTTGTCATCTTCTATCTTCTCACTTTCTCAGTTTCTATTCACTCTCAGACTCCCAGGAATTGACAAACTCAGCAGGCACAATTCTCTCAATCCTCAGAGGGCACTGGATAGACCTGTTCATGGGCCGGGCCGGGCCAGGCTTTGACTCT